GAAGGGGATCAACTTTCAAACTAAGATAACTAAATACTGTCAATCTCGCTAGTGACATTTTAAAGCTACAAAATACTGTTTGCTGCAGATGTAATTTATTTCTTTCTCAAAGTAGGTGTAACTAGCTGTAGCACAAGGGAATGGGAACCTCACTTCTACTCTGCCATGCAGCCCAATCTTTTGTAGGATGATTTGAAAAGGAAGCTTGGTGCTTTCTTTCCAAATTCATCTGTGAATAGCAAACCTGGCCTGTTTTTTTTTTTTCTGAAAGATAAGCTAATTGATTTTTTTTGAAACAAATGACACAAGGTTGGTGGATTAACTCTCGGCTTGAGACCCTGTTTCCAGCTTCATCCCTGTGAAAAGGCTTCCAGAACTACGTGGCAGAGAACCCAGATGCCCACCCCCAAGTAGCAAGATTACCAAGGTGCCCTACTCGGAAGATTTTCCTGGTTAGCACGAGAGATGTCAGTGATAAAAGACATGGATAAAAATACCAATTCAGGCACACTGACTCTCCATTTTGCAGGGATGATATCAGAAAATGCCCATGTCATGGTAAACAACCAAGGGCTCATCTCATTGTCAGTGTGAAGACTTTTTTTTTTTCTGCTGTAGTTAACAAGGCAGCAAATTTTTATGTAAATGAGTAAACTTGCCCAAGCCAAAGGACCTTTTTTCCACCAAACCTTTCCCACCACTTGGCAGATGGAATCCCATTCTTCAGACAGCCTTTAACTGAACATCTCCCAGTGCCTCATAGGCATCAAGCCTGAGATATATACTGCAGCTTTAACTCCGTCATGGCAGTTCATATTTCTTTACAGGATTCTTAGGCTGCTGTAGTTTGAGAATGAAAAAAGGAGGTGAGCAAAGCTAGCACAAATTTGAAAGACTTGGCAATTTCTCTTACGTAAAGAGTAGCATCTTTATATTGTCCTTAAATATTGTTTATACTTTGTTTATATTGTCCTTAAACGGAATAGCGTATTGTAGAAATTGACATTAATTTTTATGAAAGCTGACAGTAGAAAGATATGAAATAATAACACCTTAGGTATTATCTCCTTTCTCTGCTTCAAAATAGTCCAGGAATTGTTTTTAAGCATCCAGTGAGCATCCAAAATAATTTATAGGAGCATCACAAGTTTTGAGATAAATTAACATGTAGTACCTGAGCTTTAATATCCCTTCTTTCTCAATTTGAATGTATTGGCCATTGAATTTCAGACTGGGAATATTTTTTGCCCTTTAATTAGATCTTCAATTTGGGGAACAAAACAAGCTGGCAGACTACAGTCACAATTAACAAAAGCAAACACAGCCAACATTACACATCCTAGCTTGTGATGAAAAAGGATAATCAGAAATATGAATTAATCCATTATACATTTACACGATCAGCTATGGATCAGCAAATTATGGCTGCTTGTTTTGGCCTATAACATGCATTTTTTCACTCACTTTAGCTTCAGTTTCTTTTTCAAAAGGGCAAACTAGAAAACATCCACCTTTTGATTACCTGGGAAGGGCTTGCAGCAGCCATCCAATAATTTATAAAATTGCCCTAGGAGATCTTTCCCAGGAGCAGTGTAAAACAGAGTTTCTTTTACCTTTTGTTGTGAGAGGCTCTTCAAGTTTTTAAAAGAGCAAGGTGTGTTGTGCCAGTAGCATTTGTGACTGGAGTATTGTGGCACAGGCACCTGTGGCAAGCCTGTGAAGGATGCTGTTAAGGCTTTGGGCATTTATTGGAGGCAGCTGATAGAAAAATGCAATCATCGCAGGCACCTTCAGTAGTCAATAGAGAGAGGGAAGCCTTCCCAGCTGCTGAACCAAGTACTCTGCTATGTGTCCCTTGTTCTCTGTGTTTTTTTTGTTTTGTTTTGTTTTGTTTTGTTTTGTTTTCCTGGGCAAGCCGGTGCCCTCACTATTTGCTGGTGTGAATTTCACTTTTATTAAAAAAGTAAATTTGCCTTGGAGTCAGCTGGTATCCTACAGAAAACCTGCAAGGGGTGCAGGCAGTAGGCACTGAGAGCAGATGCAGTTGCCATGCAGAGATTAACCGGATGAGTATTTCAGATGGCACTGCTGGGGTTTGTTAGTACTCTCGGGTGGCCAAGTGCTGTGGAAGCTGTTATGAAAGTGAAATTTGCTCAGTACTAAGCCGCCACAACACAACTGCTGTTTCTTTTCATCAATATGAGAACATGAAAACAGAGCAAAGAATCATGCACAAGTTGCAATGAAGCCTATATTGAAGACCTTCATATTTATACTGCTAATAATAAAACATCGTTCTTCATACAAATGCCTCATCAACTCATTATCCTAGGCAAGGTACAAGTTCATATAACTCACAAATTATGTTATTTCAATAATAGCTGTGGATGCTGGAATGGAAATACTTTAATCTTGCAGAGAGAAATGTCATGACAACAACCAGTAATGTCTTCACTGTATTAAACCAAAATCTATGCTACAATATGAAAATGCTCCATATGCTGGTAAGCACACCCAGAGCCGCAAGCAGCAATCTCTTTTTTAAGACAGGTTTTAAGGGTGACATTTACACTAAACTTTTTATTTTTATCAAAATTATGTTAAAACATTCCAAAGTATTCTGCAGATAAGTGAAGGCTTTTTTTTTTTTTTTTTTTAATACAAAATCGGGAACTTTTGGGCTCAGATGTTATGAGTTATATTGTTGGTATTTTGCATTTTACAGGTTTATAATCCTGTATGCATTCAGTTTATGTTTCTGCAGTTCTCATTACCATAATCTGTAAGCAAAAAAGGCAATAATGAAGAAGAAAATCTAAAATGTTTTGATTTTCTTCTATCCTCACATACACCATTCTTAACCTTTCAGTTGTATTTGTGTATATTTCTGTCAATATTTTTTTCAATTTATTTTGAGAAAGCTGAGATATGCAGATATTTCCGGTGTTCTACAGCATAAACTGGAATACGGTTTTGTAACAAACTAAAGATGTCTCTGTTAATGTGGTTGATCTAGGGCCCAGTTTTGCTTTCCCATAAACCCATGTTGTTCCGAATAGATAGAGCTCTAAGTCCTGCGTATGCACCCAAGCAGAGGATTAGGCAATCTGCTCCCCGAGTATGCACATACCTAAAGCTGATTCAAAGCTTTATGTTTTTTGTCAGCAGTGAATAAAAGAGGGGAACAAGGCTTGGGCTGCCCTTGACTCAGGAAAGGAAGAGACAGTTGAAGGGGGTGGGGATAGTCAACCTTGTTGATCCTGCTGCTGCTGAGGAGGCAAAATCATGGGAAAATGATTGCTGCTGATTAGAGGGGCCACCATTCTGTCAGACACTCTCAGAAATACAGCAGTCTGGGAGAGGCTTTTCAAGACTTGTATAGAAACACTAGGTCATTTTTCTGCTCCAGCCATTTGTTGCTGTTAGCAACTGCCTGTGTTACTTATCCTATACTGGGCTGTGTATTTACACACACACATATATATGTGTATGCAAATTTGTGTATGAATACATACCCATAAACCTTTAATTTTTATATATATGTATACACACAGTCTTGATGGTTTTCTAGTATATTCTCAGATTCTCTTCTTCGCATATAACACATACTACAATATATTGTTAGCAACAGTGGAGATTTTGCTTAATTGCATGTGCCCTTTTGGAGCAGAAGGGACAAGTTCCTGTGGTTAACATGAAAGTATGCAGGCCACAGTGTTGTCTTAAGCTACAAAGTTTCCTACTATTTACTATCAGACTTAGCACAGCACCAAATGATGTATCTTTATGCTCATATGTTTTTCTAAATGCAGATGCCGAACCAGAAAAAGTCTGCAACAATGACATGCAAGAGCCAGAAACCTTACTCTGCAGTTCTAGGTTTGTTCTCGTTCCATGCGGACATAGCCAGCACTGAGCAATTAATATCCTTTTCTCCATACCCAGATTCAGCCAGGAGATGTCTTTCTTTCCTGGAAAATGGCACAACCTGATTGGTAACAGATGAAGCAAAACACCCTAGTAAGTAAGAAGGCATTCACTATGCTGTATGAATATTTATTTTTTCTGTTCAAACACAGTGATCAAAACCTAACATTTTAACCTCTGGAGATTTCTGGATGTGCAAATCAGATGTTAAATAGCAGTGTTGGGAAACTATTAATAAAAGCCTAGTTTGCTCCAGTAGTAATAAATAAATAAAAATAAATAAATAAAAAAAATATGGAGATTTCTTATCTCCAATTTAAATTATGTCCCAAGTGAATACATTCATCACTGCAGAGTTTTTTGGGCTAATACATCAGTTAATAGCAGGAGGAGTGGAGCCAGATGCAGCTACGCTGTCTGTACGCAGTAGAAACTGTAGAGCTATGTGTCTGTATCTGTACCATCCCACCTGCAAGCAGCAGATGGGGAGGAAGGAAAAGTAGATAATTTGTACCTGGAATAACTGTGGTCTTTAGGACAGTTCACAGACAGTATTTAGAAAAGAAATAAAACCTGTATTAAAGCTAAGCAAGGTGCTAGAGTGGTGAATAACATTGATGAGCCCTTCCAGCATGAGAAGCTGTGCTGAACCAGAATGGGGAGATGCTGAGGCCAAGTTGCCATGACCTAGGAGTGAACGTGAGAGCTCACATTTCAGAAAATGACTCAAGCACAAGCGCAGCCTTGCTCCCGGTGCTCTGTGGGGCATGGCATATTTGTGCTACTGCCTAGGAACTTCTGCAGCCATGCAATCAGCTATGTGCTAACTCACTACCCCAGGGGGGTGATTTTTTAGGATTTACAGCCTGTCTGAAAATTGAGATTGCCATCTGGATATCAGTGAGTAGTACTTCTGGGCAAATCCCTCTAGTGCTAGTAGGAACCAAGCCATGAAAAAATGCATGTGTTCTTATTTCTCTTTCTTGAGGTGGTGACACCCAGCTAAAACACAGGAAAGAAGGATTTAAGTGAAATGACAAGCTGATGGCACTTGTCTAACCTATTACCTTTAAGCACACCAGGTTAATCTCCTTGATTGGAAAGCTTTAGGATTCACTTCCTAGAGAGCTCCCAGTAGCAATCATTAGAAAAGTAAAAACTACACCCAAATCTTCTCTTCTGGAAGTCCACAGGAAGGAGGATCATGCCCTAAAATTTGCACATCAGACCACTGTATAAAAGAGTGAACAAGGTAAACAGTTATGTTTTGTATATTGTTTCTTTTCTGCAAGGAATATTTTCCTTTTACAAAAGGTTGAGTCTATGTAGAAACAACAAAAACAGGATCTGTCTTAAAGAAAAACTAATGAAATTTGAATGAAACTTCCAGTCAGTTACAGCAAGAAAAATAACCTTATGACATGAGGAATAGATTCTTTTTATCAAATCTGAAATATATTTTTAAAAGTCTTTTTTAAATGGTTGTTTGGAGGAAAAATCATGACCGTACATCAAATGAATCAAATGAATTAGTGCAGACATTTCTAAGCACTAATAAATTAAGTCATGGAAGGCTCAGGTTCCATGGTTGCCTCAATGCTAAACAATACACATTTCAAATATGCTGCATGTTTATGAAGCACCTGCTGTTGAGATTTCAAATTAATATGTAATAAACCCAGTAATTTCTACTGGGTTAGTTATTCTGTCTTTCCTTTCTACATTGCATCTTCAATATGAATTATTTTCACCTTGCTTGCCTTTTTTAGAGTAGAGGTTTCTGTGCTTAATCGTTGAAGGCAAAGTGTTATGGGGATTAAAATCCTATATCAAAATTGTTTAAATATTATATTTCTTAAAAATTAAAATTATTAGCAAATTATTAAAATATAAGTTAACTAGATTAGACATTGAAAATAATCTAGAAGCTGGTATATGTTAATTTTTGTTTTCTCTGTGAATCTCCAGCTGGGATCAAGTTTTAAACCTCCAGTATTGGTGCCAAACCCAAATATTTGACTTCCATTCCTTGTTTCCATTGCAGAGGTATTCCTAAAACCTTTATAATAATAGCATTATGGTCACATCAAATAATCTTTAAATTTTGAATTTAAATATTTGTAAAAGCAACTCACAAAGCCTAAAAATAGAGCTTGTTTACTAGGGACAAACTCCTTTGAACAACATGATTTTTCATATCTGGTGCAATTGTGTATCTGGAACCACACATTTCCTTTATGTAAAAAGAACAAAAACACTTCCTCTTTCTATCTCAACCACCACTTATCTCCCCGGGTCGTATTAAAAAACAAATGGAGTCAATCTTGCCTCTGATGAGAGGAAATGTAGCAGTGACAAATATATATCCATTGACTTTCTGTTGCTGTTCTGGAGTGGAGACAAACTGAATGACAATCTAAATGCGTTGTAACAATGCAATGAGAAAATAAAAGCAGCTGACACGTCACAAAAAAAAAAAAAAAAAAAAAAAAGTGTGTTCAATAAGTGTGCTCAATAGACTGGATAAGTTTTAAATGCTTCCTGGTGTAGTAGTTAGGAGTTGTAGTAAGTTATTTTTCAGACAGTTGGATTACACTTATGACATGGTCATATGATACCTGCTACACATGAAAATGTGTTTGAAAGTAATGCCAGGCAATCAAATACCTGCAAATCTAGCAGCATAGCAAGATTTCAGATTTATCTAATATGAATTATATAATTCTATGGAGACACTTTTAGGAAGATATTTTCAATTTTTTAAGATATCAGGGACACCTTTCTTTCCCATTGAATGGAGTGTTAATAATATTACTTGAATATTATTTGAAATAGTATTTGAAAAAGTTTATTTGAAATATAAGCATATGCATTTTTTATTGACCAACATATCGGGAAAGATTCAGGAGATAAGCTACAAAAGAAGTGTTGACTGCATTCAGCAAATTTATAAATAATACAGATATATAACAAGTGGGAATCCCTTAATTTACATTGGAATTTATTTTTCATGAATTAAGTCCTATAGCACACAGATGTTAGTTCTGTGTAGACAATTAAATTGTCTATATTGTCTAAATTGAACAGAAATTAAAGAATCAAAGAGAAACATTCAACCACCTTGATAACCACAGGTTAATGGTATGGAAAACTCAAAATTTATTAATTTCATAAATTTCAGGTTTCAGTTTTGTTAGAGACTCTTCTTATTCTACCCTATCCATAGTTTTGGCCTCTGTCCAAGGGTCCTGTTTTCCTTCTCACTTCTTTCTCTTCATTGGTTGCAGTGTGTTTTGAGTATTTATGCCTTTCCTTTGCTGTAGGGATGTTAAGAAATGTGCATTTTTCTGGACAGAGATGAAAGCTTTAACTAGCTGTACACAGAAAGATACTAAGAATTTGGGATTTCAGTAACTGCAGACAGAAGTTAGAAGAGGGTGAGAAAAGAAGATGTAAAAGATATGAAGGGCAAAAGAATACTGAGGGGACAGAGCAGTATCTTTCAACATCATGAAGATGTCTAAGGAAATTCTGATCTTCCCAGGTATCGCAGGTAGAAGGTGATTTAATATGTGGAACATTGCAACAGGACTTTCATCTTGTAAACACTGGTCTTAAATGCTTCTATACTTACCACTTCCCCTTAACTCAGCAAAGGAATTTTCCTGTTCCTCCATAAGACAGCAAGCAGAGCTTTTGGACCCGGTCATGAGATGTATTTCAAAGGTTTTATGCATATGGTTGATTGAAAGCTGACTGGCTTCTAGCATCTTGTTTAGCCAGCTCTATTTTAATTTTTCTGCATTTGTATGCTGGATACCAAAATATTTTACATATCCAGTTGATGTTGGGTTAGAAGGAAATAGGTAATGTTCTGTGCCTTTTTTTAAATTTGACTTAAATGATTCATTATGCTCTCACAAGTCCTGAGATCATATTATAGCTGAAAAAATAGGCAGGTTTTTTTTCTACGCTAACAACAAACATTGAGTCTATTATATTAGAACGTATGAGAAAAGTATAGAAGGCATCAACACTTTCTCCATGCTGAATTTTTAATGTTGCCAGAAATAAAAAACGAGAAGTATCGGCACTATTAGCTGTCATCCCCTGGCTCTAGTGAGCAATATTGACATTATTCTGGATATAAGTTCTTATTTCAGTAACGAAACAGTGTAAAGTTACACATTGCAAGGGAAAGTATATGTACAATGGAAGGTGTATATTCCTCAAGCATACCTGTCTCATCTCCATTTCAGAAGTTATACACTGTAATGATAGTCTTGATCAGTCTCAAACACTGACAATATAGAGCACCAGCAAAACGGGTTTAACAGATTTGTCTGATGTGATTCAGTACCCTACAAGCTGGCAAGAAGGTAAAATGTTTAAACTAAAAGGGAAGAAAAGCTCATAAAATTAATCTGCATTTATTGACTTCAAGTTTCAGGAAAGAGATGGGATTCCCAATTACTGTAAGTGTAAACCACTGTGGTTGTAGAGACTCCAGTAAAACTCCAGTAAAACTACATTGCTAGTTGCACAGTTAAGATTTGCAAAGACATTTACTCCTTTGGTTCTCATTGAAGCGAAAAAGATGCCCTCAAAATTTGGTCTTTGGGCTTTTAAACCTAAATTCTCTCTAGAAAGGCAATAGCTTCTTTATAAAAGTGGATTCTGTATAAAGCAGTGGCAAAGCAAACTTTTTTAAAAATGAAAATTGCAAACTGCAAATACATTAGCTTTTAGTGTTTCCTGTAATTTAGTGATTCAAAGGACAGAGTGACCTTTTATTTTTCTTTTCTTTTTTTTTTTTCTTTTTTTTTGGCATTGGATGAACAAAAGGATTATTTCTATCAAGATTAAAAGAAAATTATTTTTATTATCATTTTCATGACAAGCACATTTAGCATACCTTTTTGTGATCTTGCCTACAGTTTTTGAAAGTCACACGGAAAGGAGGAGATAATACAGACTTATACATGCATGCACATGCACAGTGCCTATCAAGCCTCCCTGCTGTGTGTGTTAATATAGTGCTGGTTTCTGTATTTGCCAGTTGTCATTTATGGTCTAAATGCATGTGCTGTGTTAAGAAGTACTTTGATCTCTCTGAGCTTTTGTTAAACTGTTTATTTCTCAACGCTGCAAAATAAGTGATGCAAGTAGTTGAGGGACTGATTTGCTTCCCACCCCCACAAAACAGTCTTTGGATTTCCAGCATAGTGTTTCATTTACATGAGAAACTGTCATTTTAGAAGATAATTGGAAAAAATTGTATTTAAAAACAATCCAACAAAGCAGACAGTCTGCACTTGTAAATCTCATTAGAGGTGCTCCAGGCTGTGTCGTGATGGCCTGGAAACCACAGATATGCAGCTGTAACTCTAGATGAGGAGAAAATAATATAAAGATATATTTTATTTGGCTTTACATATGAATATCAAAGAGCAGAACTTAGTTGTCTGCTTTTTAAATGCAGTTTTGTTAGTGAACGTCAGCTGAGGCTATCAAGGAAATAACTGCAATTTCTTTTCAGTCACTAGCAATTATTGTTATTATTTTCCTTTCTCTTGTTCTACCTTCCTTGACCTGTAGAGCTCAGAACAGCTTTCAAAAACCATGAATGATGTCTAGTAAACAGATAAAAGTTTAGCAACAGGGAATTGAAGTTAAGGGACTTGCTGAGGATAGCGCTGCAAACAGGAGATCTGAAAGTGGAACTCAGATTCTGAGATATCTGATTTTCTGTTTTAATCTGTCCAAAACTAAGTGATGTTTTCAAGAACAGACTTTATAGGTCCATTCAATGGTGTTTTGATAGAATAAGACAATCTCTAAATGCAGTTTTTGCTGTGATTTCATCATGATTCTCACATGTGGTAAGGTTCAGTCTTGACCATATCAAAATTATACTTTAAGTCTCAGCTGTTTGTCAAAGATCTTTTCTATTCATGGAAAATATTTCCACGAAGTGCCTCCTCCTAGACCAAGATGAATGTCTGTGCTATTGTAATGGCTCACTCTGCCTGAGAATGCCTGTCTCGCCTGAATGCAGTCTGGACTGTGGACCTGCAGACCAGAGGTCAGGTGAGGGCACTCCTGTCCTGAATGAGAATTTGTTATAACATCATTTCAGATATTTCTAATACTCTGTATTCTCCACAGAGACAGTTTCTGTTCAGCACTCAGGAAGAAGGGTACTAGGTTATGAACAATTCAAATTACTGCAGGAGCTATGTTTGACTCAAGTACAAAATTAATTTTATTATACAAAGGATCAGAAGTGGCATAAAAAAAATGAATCCCTAGAAAGGAAGACTAAGGGAGGCCCCCAGTGATTAAGCAGGAGGGCAGTTTTTTTAATGTCAGTGGCTTTCCAGAGGGCAGTTTTCTTAAAGTCAATGGCTTTCCAGCTGGAAAAGTCTTCCAACTGTATGCAGCAGCATGGTTTACTGCATTACATTATTCGTAATTAATTATCTGCAACTACTATGATACATAAAGCCAATAGTGTTCCAAATAAAACGGTGGAGCAAGGTAGGTAAGCCCGTGGTGGACAAAAGTTATGTGAAGATTTCGCTTGGAGAGGCTTTCTGATTATAGCAAATTGTTTTGAAGGTTTATGAGGGCATATATTTACCTGCAGTACTTCAGCCTTTCCATCAATGGCACCCTGTTAACTGATCCTCCTTTACCATTATATTTTGAAAGGGTGCATTCTCCATATACTACCATGGCTTTTCAATTTATGCTGCAAAATCAAGTTTATTATTTAAATTTATTTATTTTTATTTATTTTTAAACTTTATTTGAATGTAAACTTAGGAGGTTTAGAATCCAAAAATTAATCTTAAGGAAAAAGCTCTCTAGCAGGAGATCAATATCATGCTCTCTATCTTGCTTTGCATCTTTGCAGTTAAACTTGGATCTTGCTGGACCCATGATCCACACAAAAATGCACTTCTAATTTCCTTTAAAACCACTGGACATGACACTTTTTAGTACTGTTTGAGAACCTGCCCTGTAGTACAATGTAACACTTGCTGTCCATTTGCTGAATGCAAGCCAACATTTCTCCTGTAATTTTCTGTGGCTCAGTATGCTGTTAAAACAACTGCTTTCATGGTTTACCATGCCAAAAGCAGTGACCTGTTCACTTCATGTTAGAAATCTACAGAGAAGACATTTGATTACAGATACAGGTGGCATGTTTTTTCTAGTGAGAATGTTTCTTTCTAGGCAGACAAAGGTACCTTTCTTGCTGAAGCAGATCTGTAAAGCAGAAAAATATCCAGGAGATGGAAAATGTGGCCACAAACCTAGGAAATCTGCACTTCTATTTAAAACCCCATGGTGCTGGAAGTTAGCCTGCATTTTATTCTTGGCTGGTTGGCATCCATAGGATGCCAACTTCATAACAAATATCACTTCATAAAAAATCTGAAAACCTGGAAGCTTTTTTTTTGTTTGTTTGTTTCTTAAATCACTAAGTTGTCTTATTTCTCAACAAAATATTTATCCTCCAGGTCCCCTGTTTTGAAATTACATTAGGTCAGAGTATCCCCATTTAGTTGAAATGGTCCATAAAAACAAAATAGGGTCTGACAAACTTGCTTTCACTACCTGTGCATGACATAATTTTAGTTACTACTAACGCATGTTACTTTAGACCTATGATACAAAAACCTGTGTTTAACAGACTTATGATGAAAAAAAAATTGTGTTTAACTATGCAAGGAAATATCAGCTTTGATTTTCCAGACTGGAATGTACATTCAAGACAAGGGGACAGTGTGACTTTAATTGTTGATGTTGAATGTTGAATCTTGTCCTGGTCAGGGCAAGAACAACCCTGTAAGCTGCCACAAGAGAGGTCTTTGTTTATAGAAGATTTCAGGTGTCATGAGTGTCACTGCGCATCTCCCACTGAGCCCTTTGAGTTGATTACAACCATCAGAGTCTAAGCCCTGATTTTCCTTGTCTTTTCGTCCACCTACTCAGCTGTCTCTCCCCCTCCTTTTGTTCATCAGTAAAGGCTTGAAAGTTTTCTGAAGGTAAGAGGCTGGCTCCAATTGCATAGAGTGTGTGAAATAACAAAGAAACTCTTCTGTATCTAATTCAGCCCAATATGATTCATGCTGCTCTGTTTAGAAATAGCTATAAGCGAGCACTGCAGTGTTGAGTTCTGTTTTAGGAGGCCTGGGTTTTACTTTATAAATCCTAGCTACATATCCTTCTCCTTTTTACCCAAGCATGTTGGTTTACTCTCTTGTGTCATTCCAAACCAGGGTACAAAAATGTGTGACTCAAATATCTGAAAATACATTTTTTTATTACCACTTACATACTAATTTTGTCTTTCATGACTATCATTTTCTTAAGTACAACTAATTCATAATAGAAAAACTGTTTTACAGTACATACTGTATATAACTTAGCATTGTGCTCTAAGAGTGGAATCCTAAGTATACAGCATTTCTTTTCTGTTTTGTGATTCTCAGGTCAACAAAGATGAATACAAAGTGTTGCATATGTTTTCACAATATATTTTTTGACATGTTTCTTGAGACAACAGGGACTTAACAAAACCTCATGTGTCTTTATGGTATGTCAGCTAGTATGTACTGGGTCTGGCAGTAAAACCACCACATAGTTAAAAAAAAAAAAAAAAAAAAAAAAAGTTTAATCTATCCTTTAAGTAGTTTTATTCTCCATTTTAATTGATTTTTAAGATAACATTTTACAATATTCTAGATAAATGTGATACATCCATTTGAAACAAGTTCATTGCCTCTAAGTAGTGGCAGTGAGTCATCTGTGATTGCTCACATCTCTGCCTTTGTCTGACTTCAAATAATTTTTTCCCTCCCCTTCAGAGCTTCTTTTCGAAACATTGTCCCTTTCCTGGAATGTCCTCTTCTGCTGGGTATTGAAAGTCACATCTCATGGTGTGACTGTATGGTATTTTAAGACGCCTTTAGTGCTACTGGAAGATGACACTACCGTACAGTAACCAAATCCACTGTGCTCTTCCCATGTCCATAGTGAAACTGGAATTCTTCAAGATCTTAGGCTAGGCTCACATTCATAAGCAAGTTTCTCTCACTTCCTCTTTGCTTCAGGGAGGAACACAGCATATGACCAGAGCAGGTGTAACTCTAATGTTCAGGGAAGTCTTTGGAGGAAAAGGAGGGTTAAGAGGCTATGAATGTCATTACAGAAGCTCTTGTTCCAGAAGTGAGTAACAGGTGTCCTAAATACACAGGTTCAGCAGTTATGGGAGTAAAAGATGCAGCTCTTCTGAGCAATGTTGATTACAAATAACTCCCCACATGGGGGTGAAGCCTAAACAGTTCAAGCAGTCCTTCATTGGATTGCCTTGCCCAGAAGTAAGGCAGGAGAAAAACTTTTTTTTTTTTTTTTTTCAGAAAAATGTGAAGTAGCGAGGTCTTCCCCAGAGAAAGGAATTGTGAATCCCAATTTGCCACAAACAGGTAATTAATACCAAAGGGAAGTGACCATGGGGTTTGAAAACCTTCCTATACTTTTGATTTCACAAAACCCATGTACCCCTCCACTCCCCCCCTTTATTTTTTATTTTTTTACATAGGAGAAATACAATTCCAAAACAGAAATTATCTTAAATGAGGAAGAGAAACTTCAAACTGAAAATGTCCATATGGATTGTTTTGACCACATAAATGCTTTTCCTCAACTTTTATTAAATTGGAAGAAACATCGATTTTTCTCTCACAAGATGTTTTAAGCTTTATGTACGGTGTTTCACAGTGTCTAGACATCTTTGTTGTTTATTTGTTTGTTCTGTTAGTCTAGATTTTTCTTCCTTGGAAATCTTTCATTACTAATTTCATTCTTCTTATCCACACTCTTCTTTTACTGTTCCTCCTTCTGTCCATGTTCTTCTTCTCAGTCAATGGGTCTTCACATTCTTGAAATATTTGCAAATATTTTGAAATTGTGATGGTGCTTTGGTGTAGTTTATTTTACATGACAAAGTTAATGTATTTGCTTCAGGAAAACAGTCTGAGTTTAAAAAGTGGTTATAATTTTACAAAGCATTTCTATTGGAGCAAATTTTTCTTGAACAATCTGAGCCTTTTCAGGCTGTCATTTAACAGAGGACTGTATGACTTAGTCTGTGTGTCCATATTGGCATAAGACAGCATTCTTACTCATTGCCCATAAAGTTTCATATGAAATATAATCACACATGAATATATTAATTATATTGTTCTCCTGAGTGTTGTTATAATGTTAACTTGCAGTGCTGAATTCAGAGCAAAATAAAAAATAATGAGGTCAGAGGAACTAATAGCCAAGCTATTTTTGATGTGGGCAGTCTAACTGTTTTTCTTTTAGTATTTCCTAATAGGCTATTCCTCTAAAATACCTAGTTTCTAATATAGAGTTATGTGTCAGGGTCTTTGTTAGAAATTATGTATTAGCAAAAGGATCGGGATTTTTTTTTTTTTTATTATTATTATTATTTTTATTTTTGCAATAAAGCTGGATCAGTCAGAAAATAAAAGGACAGGAGGAACTGAAATTGCTTTCAAGTTTCTTTTCCAAATGTACTCTTCTACAAAAGGAACATTTGTTTTATAACAGCAGGGTAAGAGGTTCAAAGCAATATGTACTGAAAATCATAGCAATACTACATAAATCCTCACTGAGGACACAGGCTAATGGACCAGATAATACCAATGGCCTAATCTGAAGCCTCGGATGTCAATGAGGTCTTGCCATTGACTTCAGTGAGCTTGGAATCAAGTCCGCAAGGAAGGCATTTCTTTTGCCATTTCCTCGTGGCTTAAAACAGGACATTCCAATGTGAAACATTTAGGCACATAAAATTCTAAATTTCACCTGCTTCTTCCATTCCCCCTTAGCAGACCCGCACCCAGACAGAGCAGGTGGTCAAGTGCCTCCTAAAATGCATGTGCAGTGTGGACTCGGGCTGCACTGCAGCTATGGACACAAGTGCCAAGGTGCACAGCTGACCTTGGTAATGTGAATCAAATGAGAGGCTGCTAGATGGGGAATTTGGATGAGAATTTTGTGTTGCAAGGGTGCACATTGGAGTGATTTCATGAGAAACCGATGCTGCCTTCTGATCTGAAAACTGTATCGATAAACAGTCAAATAGTAGAGAGCTTGGTTGTAAGGACTCTATAGAAGGGCATGGGCCTGTTGTAATGAGCCTAGGGAAGGCCACAAGGCTGAGCAGAGGGCTGGAGCACCTCTCCTATGAAGACAGGCTGAAGGAGTTGTGGTTGAGAAGGTGGGAGGGAGACCTTACAGTGGCCTTCCAGTACCTAAAGGGGGCCTACAGGAAAGCTGAGGAGGGACTCTTTGTCAGGGGGTGCAGCAGTGGTACGAGGAGTAATGGCTTTAAACTAAAAAAAAAAAAAGGTAGAATTAGATTAGATGTTAGGAATATATTCTTTACTCAGAGAGTGGTGAGGCACTGGAACAGGTTGCCCAGAGAAGCTGTGGATGCCCCATTGCTGAAAGTGTTCAAGACCAGGCTACACTGGACCTTCAGCAACATGGTCTAGTGGAAGGTGTCCCTAGCATGGATGGAATCTATATATGTTGACTTCCTGGGCACACTGGGGAGGTAGAAATGTCTAGTAATGTATTGAAAAAAAAAAAAAAAAGGAATACTTAGAAATTGGAGAAGGTACTTTTCTTCTGAGAAAAAAAATGTTGAGCTAGATGACAACACAGCTTATGTTATCCAGTATTATACTACTGAACCTCTGGACCTTTTCTCCCTCATGTTCTAGCTTTGCCTCCATCTCCTAATTATGCAGGAGGGAGAGGCCATCTTTCTTTGTAGAACCAAAAATAAAATTAAATACAGATTGGCATAAAGTTATTTATCTTTTCCCTTTTCCTTTTCTTCCCCGGCTTTAAAATGCAAGCAGTGTCCAAATGCTTTAAATATATTTATCTGAGTAAAACTGTGTAGCAAAGTACTTACCAGCTGAGCATGCCCTTACCTCATGCTCTACATTCATCAAACATGGTAGGTTACCAGCTACCCTTTAATAACATATATCTATCAGATGGACAACACAACAGATACATGGAGCTGAATGGAGGAAAAAAGACTTCTATGAGAGTTAACGTCCTCTTTGCAAGCTTTTAAACTACTGTGTCACCTCTCAGTTAAAAGTTGTTAAACATATCCATACAAAGATTGAGATGACTGCAACCTTTTAAACAAGTGTGAGATTCTGTGGTAGAGGTAACAGAATCCTTTGCATGTAGTTTTCAGTAAACTGAACTTACCCTGCAGACATCCTTCACATTGTCAGAACTTTGTTGTACAACCCTGGCGCCCTATATTCCATCTGTTTTCCTCTGAATAGCCTCTCCCACCACCTTTATCACCACATTATTTGAGTACCATTCATAAGTGCATTAAGCATCCTAAGCGTCATCTGTCATGTTTGTCCTCTGGTCCTCTCCATAGGGAGCATAATGTGCTCAGTTAGGTGCTTTGTTCTGATAGGGTTTTTGTTGGGATAGATTTTTACATGTACATAAAACCAGAATAAAATCTGCCTTGACTTTAGAGCAGAAGGTGAGGATGTCAGGGATGTTCTGGGTTCCCAGTTCATGGGAGAGTTTACTCCACAGATTGGACCAGCCCCTGGGAAAGTCGTATGTTCCTTCCTGCACTTCCAGAAGGTACTGCTGGGCTTTTCCAGACCTCAGAAGCTATTTTAGATATTTGGATCCAGACCATAAGTCACTTCCAGGAAAATATTCAAGAACTTCAACTTTATTTGTGTGCTTTTGAAATCTTTCAGAAAGGCAGGAGAAGACAGCATTGCAGTGTTCCCAGTAGCTTTTGTTACTGAAGAAACAGTTGTCCTTAATCTTGTGCTTTCTGCCTCAGATGAGAGCTACAGCTGAGTTCACCATTCTGTCAGGACACTTTTTAATGTTGCCTCAACAACAGACTTTATCTCTGCCTGTAGGCTCTCACCTTCCTTTCTGGGAAAACATCATTTAATTCCTTCCCAGAAAACTTCAGAATTTTTAAAAAAACTTGTCTCGGGTCTTTCATAAAGATGTTGGCCATCTTTGATTCCTGAAAACATTTTCATTAGTCATTTCATTTTGATTTGAGAGAACTTCAGAAACTTTAGAAATTAAAAAAAAAAAAAAAAAGAAGGATGGGAGAGGCAGACAGTCCTCTGACAATCCCATTTGTGAAATTTACAGGGTGTTTCTATATGTGCTGTGTTTTGTTTTGCTTATTTCTAGCATAGACACATATGCAGATAGCTGAAGTCAAGTCAGTCCCCAGACCCTGCATTTATTATCAAGAAATTCTGTGAACTGCAAAAAACAGCTAGTGCATGAACTTACACAAGTTCACTCTTGAATGGTGTTTCTGTAGCTAAACTGAGGGTTGTACTGTTTCCTGCAGTTGTCTGACACTAAAGCACCTGCTGTAACAAATAGCTCTGAAGTAGCACAATTGATTTCGGTGTGAAGAAGTAATGGGTGAATGAATTAGGTAATAAAATAAAAGTGTTTGTCCAGAGGTGAGGTGAAGCATGGAATTTAAAAAACTAAAAGGAAGTTGCAAGGCTTGCTGTAAAACTCATGATGCTAGATGGGAGCTCAGTGCAGCACATTCTGTTACTGTTTTCAAAAAAGCAGAAGAGTCTTGCAGAATTAATATGGAGGCTCTTGCTACACCTAGAATTGGTTCTGACTCTCTGCTGAGTTATAAGTAATGTAGCACTAAGTTCTAGCCTTATCTCTGCTCAGTTGTACAGGTTTCTCTAAGTATGTGATTCTTAAACCCATTTAATGAAACCTGGCAATATACTCCGGGAGGTTTTGGCCTTAGTTTTTAATTAAACTGGTAAATTGAGGAATATAGATAAGGTCTTTATTGCAGTTAGTGGAATGTAATATCTATATGCATGCTGATCCCAGCTTCATGACGGAGCTTTTGTTAACTTTAATTATTTTGGTCATTTCTCCCTTTAAATAAACAAGGACAGACAGTAAAGTCATGTCAGAGCTGTAATATTCAGAAATCCTACACCAACGTTTTTGCTCTGTTAGCTCATGCTCATCTTCTCTACAGTTTAATTTTATTGTAGCTGATGTGCCAGTGTATAGCTGTGTGAAAACGATTTTTGTTTTCTTAAGTGTCCAATAAAATCTCCTTTATAGACAAAGCAGAGATTTCCAGACTCTAGTTGAGAGATCATATCTAATCATTTCTTCAGGACCCAGTGTCTCACAGGTGCTGATAGGAAGAGCAGTAGCTCTTTGAAGTTGTTTCTGTAAAGTCTCTCTCAGCCACAAAACATGGATAGTGGCCTGCAGAAGTTATACAAAAAGTCAATAGATGTAAAGGCTCTGCTGTGAACAGAGGTTAACTGGGTGGCATCCAGAGGCCTCTTGCAACCTAAATTATTCTATGCGTACTTATCATATTACTTTGTTCATTTAGGGTTGTTTGGTTGCATATTGGTCTGCAAGACATGATGAAGGTTGTCAAGGTCCATGGATTCAAGAGTTTGGGGGCTTTAAAGCACTATCTTGAATATTGTCCTATCTGATACCACTACGAGTCTCCCATTCTTCTTCAGTGAGGGTCTGGAACCACACACACATGATTCCTTACAAAAGTGCAACATTAATATTTTGACTACATAGAACCTCTGCTGGGAGAGAAAGGGTGTTGGGGAAATGTGGTTATTATGACTGACATAGAAACCCTGTGACTTGTTTTTGCAGTGCTATACCATTCTGTTGAATGGCTGGAGGGATTTATGTAGCATGAAGTGCAAGTTGACGACTTCTGGAGGATAAGATATGTGATCTGGAAATGTGAATCAAACGTCTTTTCTGGCAACTAGATTTGAAATTTATTACCACAGACTCCACAGGAAAAGGGTTAGAGGCAAGGAAACTGGTGAGGTTGCAAATTGAGCAAGTGGACTAGTGATCTGTAAAAAGAGACACTTTATCCAGTTAATGGTATTGTCTCAGTATCAGATCCTTATTGAGTTATCTACTGAGGAACAGAAGACAAATTTAGAGGGACATCTCCAATGAACATCTTTACTATACGAAATGAACTGGAACAGAGATCTCCTTAATATATTTTAAACTCAAGCAGATGCAGTCCATAGATTATATGAAAATAAATTTAAAGAAAATTAATAAAGGAAGAAGGGACAAAAAAATGTGCTGTTTTCCAAGTGCAAAGTTATGAAAATGTAACAGTAGTGTTGGATGGGATGACTGATCAGTGCAAATCATGATCTGCTGACAGTTCACATTAGAACAAAAAAATGTGGAACAGAACAAATTGTAAAGGTTTGAGAGCTGCAGAAGAAAAGTAAAGAAAAATTCAAATGATTTTTCTGGTTTTATGAACAACATAAGAGAGAACATCTTGGAGATGAGTGGATGTACAGCTGTCTGGTGGGAAACAGAAGGTTTTGATATTATGGAGCACTGAACTTTGTGACAGTTTACTGGGAATTGGTGCCATTTGCCCAGAACACACTGTATCTTATGGGTAGGGAGATAATTTTCTCAGCTAGACAGCTAGAGACTAGCTTGACTAAGTAAGAAGATAAGTAGTTACATGAACCAGGGGTGTAAGGACAATAAAGGCAGTAACCGTTTAAACTCAGTGTGTCATAAACCAAGTGGTTTGATATGGCAAGAATGTGAAGGCGAGACATTTTTCACTAAATATTTACCCATGCTACAAGACTGACTAATGAGATAGGGGAAATGGTAATTCTCACTGATGAGAAAAATTTTGACTTAACTGGCAGTATTGAAGCCTAGTGGGAAGATCTGTATGAGGAGAATGTTAAAATCTCTATCTGTAGCCTGTTTAGGAGCTATAGAGTGAAAAAATAAATTTTATATTAAAGATACCATTGATAACTCAGAACTACAGCATCTTGAATGCATATGAATCAATGTACTAACTCAAATGCTCAGGAGATCATAGAGCCACACCAGAAAATTTCATGAATGCCTATGTGCACACTTGGTTTCATAATGTATAGAACAAACAACTGTACCCCAAAGGATCCTAGCCTGGGAGCTGTAGACAGATAGTGAAAGACACAGCTGCAAAATGTCATTAGATTTCTAAAAAAAATAATAAATAATAATAAAAAAATATTAAAAAATTCTGACAAAAAAGTGTCTATCCTCCTGTACTTTGAATACAGTGACTCACTCTGTACTTTCAAAGGCAGAATGTTGCAAATGTTATTTTTTTTTTCCTCAAGCCATAGTTTTTCCCATAAACTTCTCATTAATACTAAGTGGTTAGATGTTGCAAGCTAGGCACGTCCACCAAAGACTTTGACCTGCACAGAAAAAACATTTTTGCTTTTCAGGAAAAATTAATAACTCCATTAAAGACAAAAGCTAAAAACTGCTCTATATGATGAGGTATCTGTTTTCTGCTGACTTATAGGACAATAGTCCAGAAAAGGCATCAGAATTCTGGGGAAATTGAGCCTAGAATACCATGACTGCCAGCAGAGGGACATGCCCTTTTGGTTCTCTGCCAACCAGTATAAAATGATGGAGTTTGGTATCCATCAGGAAGAAGCGATCTGCTTCTACCATGTCTATCTTACTCAGGGAAGACTGAAGCCTCTCCACGCAATGGAGAACTTACTCCTTTCAGTAGAGCACAATTTCATTGGATTCCTCCTCTGTCCATGCTCATATTTGTGCAATAGACACTTAAGCTTAACTTGTTTAAAAACAAAATTTTATTAGTTTTTCTGATGTAGAGTTTTCAGCATTTTGATAAGCCTTATTCAGTGGCACAAACAAATATGTACAAGCGCAGAAAATTTATTCTCCTGGAAATTAAACCAAAGCAGATTCCACAGAATGGAAAAAGACAAAGACTTATTTATTTATTTATTTATTTTTATCAGAGATATTCATCACTAGATATCTAAAACCTCTGCCATGCCATAGATCCTTCATTAGATGTAGGTGCAGATGAACTACACAACCTACTCTGTGCACAGCAATACAGCACAGCTAAAATCAAGATCTAATCCAATGTTCTCTGTTAGCTAAGGTGTAAAATAAAGCAAATAAACATGAAAACCCCTTTGATACTAAACCGTGTGGATTCACAAGAGAGATTGTTTCAGTGCTCAAAAAGACAATCTTGAAAGTCTTTTTGTCTTCTTTTTATTAACATTTTTCTCCTCCTCTTGTTGTTATCAGCTTGTTAAAACATTGCTAGGCTGAAAGAGAAATCTCAGGACATATGTTAACAGAGGGAAAGGGGATAATAACTTGACAGGCTTTTTAAGGAGAGAGTCCTTTAATTTTCAGCAAAACTCCACACTCCAATTTAAACAATTCTCCAGCCTGTCTTCATTTTTACTATGGTATCACAGCCAGAGTTTAAAGAGGGTACATTTTAATGGTTACAGCAGAAGAGAGACTGTGGAATGACAAACCTGTAAATCTCCTGGCTCCCATTGGAGGTCAGTAGCAACTCAGGGCATTTGGTCTCTTCCAGGATCATTCTCCATGTGAATCGCATCAGTTTTTCTGTAACAATGTTAATTCCTTCTGTTGGACCTAAACAAATTGCTTTTCAGTCGCAGGACAGCCAAAGTGACAGGAATAGATTAATGTCGCACATCGGACTGGTTGGATTTTCATATTGTCACCCAAAGCAGTCAGGATAAGCAAATTAAAGAACCAGCATTTCTGCCCTCACTTACACACAGAAAACAGCTGGTGAAGCTGCACAGTTTGACTGCTGCTGACAGTTTGGTCACGGGCTTGAAAAGAAACCTAAGGTTAAAGGGATGCTGTCTCAAAACCGTTGTATGTCTTCTGGAGCTGGCTAAATTCTTTCCAGCTGAATGGTTTGCCATCAGAAAATTATGACTGGGTGGAACCACAGTTCTCCAGAGCATGGTTTTGGTGATGCTAACATATTCCTGGAGGATGCAGACACTGCCAGGTTCCCTGGTGCTGTCTCTCAGCACTGAGTCCCCAGAAAGATTCATGGACCACTTCAGAACAAGGCAGGCTGGCAACCCAGGATGCTGAGAGCAAAGCAGGATTTGAGAATTTCACTTTTACTTTTTCTGGAATATGATTATTTGAAGATATCTATCCCATGGAAAATGCTGCTGAGTGCTAGATATTTCTTGCCTCTGTTGCCCTTTAAGTACTATACAAAATGATGGCATCATCTGGAGTCAGTCAATATATGTTCAGTTCAAAGATGTTTTTTACAGAAAGAAGTGAGAATATATTGCTCTTTCTTTTATAAACACATTGCTTTTGTTCTTTCTTGGGTATACTTTTCTCTGAGAGCACAGTCAGTTTAATGTTAGAGGGACTAGAAATGAAAGTTCAGTGCTGACATTTCAGACCCACATCTACAAGGGCAGGAGTTAGGTTTGTTTGGCTCACTAACTAAAAGGCATAGATAGTTGTTTTTTTTTTTTTTTTTTTTTTTAAGTATTTCAGTGGTAGTAATAATGTCCCATACCATAACTTTTACACATTGACAATAATAGGACTCTTGAGGGAGATAAAGCATACATGAAATCAGGAAGGGTGTATATACTGTGTCTTCATCTGATCAGAAAAATGCCATTGGCACGAGGTGAATTGCAGGTCTCGATACAAAATTGTACATAGCCTGTCACATCAGTTCAACTCCAGTGCCAGCTTCGTTGGCTTCTCTGGAGTAACATCCAGGATAACACTCTTTTTAGTGTTTTTATTTGTTGTAAATTGGCCATTAGGTTTCATCTATAATGCTGAGAAACTAATTTAGAATACTGAGAAGCCATAAAGCACCAAGGGTATCCTGTCACTCCATTGACTTACAGAAACTCTTCTTTCATCTGCAGTTACCTGAAATCTGTTTAGGTGGATGAGACTGTGTGGTTTGGGGAGAATTCTCAGGATTTCTGAACTCTGCTTTAAGGTGGAGGCAGAGGTAAAAGATTATTAAGTGTCTAGGAATTTATTGCTAGAAGAACAAACTGTTTGGGTTGAGATATTGGGTTCAGCCTTGCTCCAAAGAGCACAGTGTTTTCTTGTATTTCCTTACAGCCTGAAAGCACATTTTGTGTATTTTGTGGAATACACCATTTGTCTTCACTTTTCTACCTTCTGTAAACTGCAGATTTCAAAGCATATAGACCCATTCAGGTTTCACTGTGTACTGTTTCACAGCTTTACCTGTGGATTTCTTTCTCTTTATTTGTTCAACAAATGAGGATTCTTCCAAATCTTACATTTACAGGAGCTTTTAAAAGAATCGTTTAAAAGAACCTGATTACCCTTCTAGTTGAATGGCATGAAAAACAGGGGGAAATAGCAACACTGGAAAAGATTATAGGTATCCTGAAGAGAAAGAGAGGAAAAAGAAAAAAAAAAAAAAAAAAGTGAAAGATGAAGGAAATGCAAACCAGATATGGATGACTGTGTCATAACTACTTCCACTTTGTACATGCGTCATTCCAGTAGTGAAGGGTTATTCTTTAAGAGACAGAATCTTAGAGAGAAAAACCCCCAAAACAAGATGATACCTGTTATGCTTTGAAGGATGTGAAGATTATGGGTACCTGTTGCATCAAATCCAGAGAGGCACTGAATATGTGTAATTCTTCTCACCTGACATATAATATTTTCACAATATTAGTATGTATTTAAATGTATCTAATCTTGCAAAATTCCTACAAAATCCTGCAAAATTATTCAGACTCTGCTCACTAGTTTTCTAAGACAAAGCCACTGTTTGAATCCAGACTCTTCTTTTGGTGGTGTTCTCATTATAAAGGAGGGAAATGTTGCCATCTCTTGTATTTCTGCTGTTGTGAAACTAACTGCAGGAGCTTTCTGAAATTATGTTTTAATCACAGTTCTGGGTTAGTGCATATATTCTATTTTTACAAATATAGTATGATTAGTAATGCACCAAACACAAAGTAACATATAATGTGAAAGGCTGTATTGGTGCATAGTAAGAGATCTTCTATGACTTAAGAGTTCAAAATCTGAGGAGACCTGATGGCAGGTGAATGGAAATATCACTGCGTTCATGTTCCCAGTCACATGGGACATCTATTACAGAGACTGGAGATTGAATCAAAACTGAGGATGAGAACAGTTCCTCAATTACTGGGATAATCTTTATTTTTCTGCGGTATACTTCCTATCTCAGTGTAACACATTGCACATATTACCATAATGACTTTCTCATAATTAATTTGAATGTAAGAAAGGTTTATTTTCCCTGACTATAATAAGTTATACCTTTCATATAATATCCTGTGTTCTTGGATACATTATATTCAAACGCAAATTTGAACAGCTCTATCTTCACAACTGAGTCTTGTACTTGTCACATTCTGGCAAATATTACTGATTTATTGAAGATAGTAAAGAAGCACGGAAGCTGTTAACAGCAGCCCTCATCAATAACCCATCTGAACTCATAGCATACGACAAATATATTACAGAAACGGTATCTTTATGATAGTGCTCAAAGAGCTTGCTAGCACAGGCATTTAACTGATACAGAGGATGTGAACTGAGATTTCATTTGCAGTTATTTCACCTCCATGATTATACTGAGACCAACCCGAGAACTAACAGAGATAAATCTGTCTTTATTAAAGACGGTGGAATGAAAGAAAATTATTTTCATTAATAAGTTAAAAGCGATCAGCATAAATCTCTAGCTTATTAAAATTAATAAATAAGACTCTAAGTGAAAAGTTCTCAATGTCCAGCTTGGTTTGTCTTCAGTATTTTCTTGTGATTGTTGCTTTTACAGAGCAGCTAGTGTGGACTGGGAAGCATTAAAGGATGTAGCTCATTGCTCTCTAATGGTAGGAAAGGCAAGAACAGGGTTGACGAACTCAGTATTTTGCTGGGTAACATGAGTGATCTTTATGATCAAAAACATACACGTATTTGTCAGTATTTATTTGACTGTTCCAGAGAAGTCAGATAAGCCCTCTGTAACCCTTTTTCCTGGAGCTGTGTGCCAAAATGACCCATGATCACCAACAGATGCAAAAATGAAAAATCTTTGGGCATCAAGTCTAAGCAATTGATGA